ACACTAGATTAAAATCTTGGCTCTGCTTCTTAATAGTGTTGGGCCCTTGGACTGTTTCTTAAACTCTTTGGGCCTGTTTCTCCACCTGTAAAGTGAAGACAACAGTACCTGCTGCGAAAGGCTGTGGTAGGCACGCACAAGGGCAAGGCGCGGAAAGCACCAGCATATGGCCTGGCCCAGAGTCAGCAAAAGACACGATAATATTGCTGCTCTCACTATTAAACTGCTCGGCATGGAAGAACACTGCCTCAGGAGGCCAGAGACCCAGGACTAGAACTCCTGACATTATCTACCACTCCATGGCCCTGGGCAAGTCCCCTAAGGCTCCCTGGGCTTTGGCTGTCTCACATGTAACTGAGAAATGATAACACCTCGGTCAGGTGGCATTGTGCAACAATTTCTCAGAGTCCCTTCTATCTCAGAGATCTATGATTGTATACTTAAGGACTTTTTTAAAACCCAAATTTTAATCTAGAAAAAGACTTGAGGGTCCACCAAGAACTCCTAGGTTATGATTCAACACTAGGAAATCTTCTTAGGACCCATACTGACACTACAGTTTGCCAGTAGCTTACCTCATTGGAGAATGTGCGAACATCAAAAAAAGCGATAATGGAACCATATTCACTGGACATCATACACACGGAGAGGGTGAGGTTATCACAGCTCAGGGCCAGGTGATGTATCGGGAATTTCATAGGCACTAGCAAGCTTTGAACTTTATCAACTATGAGAACATAAAAAAAGACAAAGCAGAAAATGGGATTTTCAAAGCATAAGCCACAACCCCTCTATTCAGATCTACGTGAGACAATTTTTGCATCTACATAAACATCCGCACACATGCTGATACCTGGTTAGGCCGATAAATCTTAGCTTCCTGACCGACGTATAAGGCGTCAAGTATCCCAGGGACTCTTCCTCATACGACCTGGGGAAACTAACTATGGCTGTTGCCCTTGTTGAAAATAGCGTCCTGTACCCAGATTTTTGCAACAATGGCCTAAACAGTACATACTCCCATTTGTTTGGATGGTACTGGTCTGTCAACTAAAAGCCATGCAACAAAACCCTTCTCCCAGAGAGCCAGAACTCGAGTTCAACTGAGCAAAAATAAAAGCATGGCAGGATGGTAAATTCTTCCCTGAGCTCACAGGAACAACTCATCGAAAGAGAACTACGAAGCACCAAAGAGAACACCCAGAAAGCCCTCCAGCATCCTACCTACAACTTCTTCTCCTAGGGAGGCAACCTGAGGACTAACAGCAGTTTTAATTTCAATATTAGAACGATTTTCTTGGGGAAGGCAAACTACATTAGCACTTCACTACACTCCTCTATTACAACACGAAGCAAGTAACTTACCTATCTTATTGGGATCGTCTCCAGGTTTATTTTGAATAAGGAGATTTTTAGTAGGAAAAATCTGCAACCCACTGGCTCCACCAGCGAAGACCAGACCGTATTTGTTGGACACGGCAAGTAGACTCGAGCGTTCCTTGGGCAACTCCTCAGGAGAGTCAAAGATTCTCACCTTCTTGAGAGCTCTAAACTGAAAATCCTGTTGTGAGGGATCAAAACAAGATCAATTCAGGGAAAACAGGAAATTTAATGTCTGTCATTAGATTCCAGTAGACCCAATTCCAGCGCAACAAAAATATGTACTACCCTGAGGCCAAGAACTGTGCAGCTCAATCATTTTTAAGCTTCCTGGGCCTACTGTGGTGCTTGGCACAGTGCTTGTTACTATTTATTGAATGAAACAAAATTTTCAAAATTCCTTCATTAAGCCTGCCTTGACTAATCCAGCTCACACTGATCTTTTCCTTTTATGAATTCCTAATTTATTGCCTTAAACCACCACACAAGTTGCACTTTATTATCTATAATCTTGTCCTATTTTATGGTATGTATTGTCTCGTGATCCAGAGTGATGCTTAATAAATCGTTGTTCAATATTGAAGCATCAGCCAACCACGCTATAAGCTGGACGTTTCCGCGCAGCACTCAACAAACATGGATACGGAAAAAACGACCACAGAAAGAACCAAACCCAAGAACAGGCTTGCCTGCATCAAGTGCTCAACAAAATTCCATCACACAAAAGGATACGTATGGTCAATCTCTCGGTGGTCAAGTCCTATAAACACACCTAGATACTCAAGGACATCTAAACACAAGGTCAGCACCCTTAACACAGGCTCTAAGGCCAGGAATGGCTCGACCCACCTGCCTCTGGAGCCTCGCTTCACAACATTCTGCGTCCCTCCCACAAGGGCGCCATCACCTCTGCCCCGCCTCCACCCCCACCCACTTCCAGTTTCCATTTCCTTCCATTTTTAAGCTTCTTAACATCTCGGGGTCTGGGAGCCTTCCCAGACCTGTCAGTGCCTGACTCAGCTAGTCTTCCATGAATTTATCTGTACGCTTTCAAAGACAACTTTCAGTGCGTACCCCCTCTTGGTAAAAGAGTTCCATAAGTTTACCAGTCACTACGTTAAGTTGTACTATATACAGCGTTTCTTCTCTTCAATTCCAAACCTATCTTCAAGTCAAGGTTTTGGTGAGAAGAATGTGAACCCACTTTTGCTTACATTCCAAAAGTGTAAAAGCCAAAGGCAGCCTTTCTCAGCCTGCCTTTTTGTATTTATGGTGCTTCATACAGGATCCCTAATGTACCCCATAAACTAATTTCCTTGGATTTGATGTTGAATACATATTTGCTAAAAAATTAAATGAAAAGCTCTTCTTAATTCCAACTGAGAATGGTGACCAGAAATTCACAGCTTTCTGGCTGAGACCATACTAGGTTTCATACAGTAGAATAAAATTTTCAGTCTCTGTCATTCTCATCCTGATAATCCCAAATATCCATCCTGTTAGGGTCCCAGTCACAGGTGTATGGAGAGCCAGTGGGAGGAAGAGGCAGAGGAGAGCTCTCCTTTCTGTTATAATCAGTAACTCAAACGGAGACTATCATCTTCTAAGTCTGTGGTTCTAAAATCTTTTTTTCCTTCTGCCCCAGCACATGTGGGGAAATTCCACACTCACACTGGGTGGCTCACCCCAGCACTGATTCTCAGAAGGAACAGAGAATCACCACTCTAAATACGGTATGGATTACTACTCTCAACGCATTTCAGTGATTTGTTGTTCAAACGCGACTCTTCCTGCAACTTACTCCCTTTCAGGTGTTGATAACCGTCATTTGGATCACCTGCCCTGCCCCTCTTTTTGGTTTCCTGACTTTAGGCTGATTCCCAGTACCAACAGTCCTCTTATTCCAGTTAACTAAAGGTTTTGTAGGACTGGTGACGAACCCTGGCTCTGCGTTATGCAAGCCTGGACCACCTTACAGTAGTACCGTGGGAGTGAAGAAGACAGTCTTTGAAAAAAAAAAACAAACCCTAGATTTCAGCCCCTTTGTCACGTGACTTTGAGTAAGTTCTCTTCCGAGCCTCGCTTTGCTTCTCTATATCAACAACTACTTCGTGGAGCTGCTGGATGATCACCACAGTGCCCCGCACACAGTAAACGCTCCATAAACAGCAGTCACCACCACTCCTCCGACCAACACGCGAGAGGAACTGGGCAACTCCAGGGGCGCGCACAAGACCAGCAAGGGGCGGGGAAACGGCGCCCGCGGGGCTGCCACGCCGGCGGCACGGCAGAGTGCTGCGGGCCGCGCTGGTGACAACCCTGAACGCAGCAAACTGTTCAAGCGGGAGGCGGGGCAGAACCCGCGCTTCGCCATTCAGCGGGGCTCCAAGGCGACGCCGCGGCTAAGGAAGAAAGGGAGGCCCTGGCCAGTCTCTGACCTTCATCTCCCGCTCGGGGATCATGGCATCCATCTCGTCGCCCATCGTGCCGCCCTCAGGTGGTCGAAGCAGCCCCCGATGCCGCCCGCGGCCTTGCCCACACAGCTCAGGCCGCCCGGAGGCCAACTTCCTTCCCTCAGCTTTAGCGGCGCGCGGCGAACCCCACATTTCCGGCGCGCTTCGTTGACATCACGCGTTTCCGTCCGCGGTTTGGCGGGGGCGGGTCGTTGCGCGCTCTCCCGGCTCGGCCGATAAGGGGGCGTGGCCCTGGAGCCCGCGCGCCTGCGCCGGGAGCGTCCACGTGCCGCCCCTGCGTTCACGCTGAGAGCCGGCTCGCTCGGTGTCGGTTTCATTCATTGGGCGGCGCCCGCCCGAGCGTTGCACGCTCGTGGTTCGGTTGAGCCTTCACAGCAACCCCAGGATGTAGGTAGTTATTAATAGTTCCCGGTTCAGAGAAGTTAGGAACTTGACAAATATTTACAGGGGCAGCTCTTGAGAGAGGGTGGAGGAAAGAGGTTCAGAAAGGGCTTGGGGTGGGGCTTGTCCCGATGTCTGAGCAGGGAGGCTGAGAGGGGAGGTTAAAGGGCACCAAAGATCAGCTTTGCTTGCTCCTTTCAAGGTTGTGATTTACAGAGCAAGACCCTGGAAACTGCGCAAAACACTTTAGATGTGATATTTAATCTTCAAGACATCCTAGTCATCTAGGAGTATTATTGCCATTTAATTGATGAAGTAACTGGAAGCATAGAGAAGTTAAGAAAATTCCCCAGTGCCCGTCAGTCAGAAACTGGTGGAGATAGGCTTAGAATTCAGCTTTTCTGGATATGCTGATTACTATTTTTTTTACACAGTCCTACGTAGAGGTTTTTGTAGTGGAATTATATTATAAATGCTCTAGAACACATTCTTAACTTGGAGCCCCTGGGTCAGCTCCATATTCTGCCACTTACTGTTCAGTTTTCAGCAAATTGCTCCTTTGCTCCAAGCCTGCTTCTCATTTCTAAGACAAGGATTGGTATACTAGGACCTGGCTCATGGGGTTGTGAGGAGCAAATGAAGTTCAGTATTTAACAGAGCCTGGGACACAGGACACGTTCATTCAGTCTATTACTATATTAGCTAGCTCTTCTGAATTTGCTGAGCCCCGGAACCATCCCCAAAATACACCAGTGAAGACACTGATAAGTTTGTCTGTTTTATTTCCAGTCTGTAGAGATGATATCCAGCACCACACACACACACACACACACACGCATACTGCATCCACCTCAACTTGCCCAACACACTTCCTTTTGAGTTGCAGGGACAAAGCCATACCTGGCAGTCCCCAAGTTGCTGGTTACATCAGTTAGATTTGGTGTTTCAGAAGGAAGACAGCTGAAGTTCTAAAAAGCTGAGCCCTTAGCCAGAGAAGTAAGAGTCCTAGAGCCAATAGCCACAACCTGAAATACACGCAGACCCCCCTTTCCAGGGACCACTCTTGAGATCCTCTCCCTCCAGGGGCTGAGTTCTAAGAAATGGTGAAGGAAATGGTAAGGGTTCCCAGGACACCCCTGTCCAATGAGAGAACTCTCTTTCCTGCTGTTTCCAGAAGCTGGAGACACACTCACTTGCTCTCCTCCCTTAAGGAGTCTTCCTGCAGTCTTGTCAACTGTGGAACCCACTGAAATAAGCCCTCCTTTCTGAGCGGTGGACAGGTACAGACTAGAATGGGTAGTCAAGGAAGGCTTTACCTTGCTTAAAGGTCTCAGAGAGGTGAGGTGGTGGGAAGGGGCGGGGACAGGCAGTTGCTCATGTAAGGATCTCAGGAGAAAAAAACAACCAAGGCAGGGGACGGGGTGGGGTGCAATTTTACATTTAGAGGAAGGAATGTTTTGCTGGGGTTTAAACTTCAATGGAAGCAGCTCCTTAGGCTGAAGATCAGCCAGTCATAGCCAAATAATCTTGCTCCTGAACTGGTTGAGACCAGCAGATTAACCCAACCTGGCCATTTCTCCATCCCCTACCGGCTCCACACCTTCAAGCTGGGCTCTTGATTATGGGTCACTAAGGAGCTTCAGGGAACCCACACTGGTTCCAACAGCCCTTTGCACTTAAGGTTTTGCGAAGGCTTTCCCAAGACTCTAGCCCAGTGCAGGGCCCAGCTGGGCCCCCTAGAATTGCAGTGCAGTCAGCCCATATCCCCCTCTTTCCTAACGTTCATCTCACTCATCATCGTCTAGGTCTGACTTCGCCACGGGACGCTAAATTCCATGAGTCTGTCCATTTCATTACTGGGTTCTTAGCTCTTGGCCCATAGCAGGCACTTAATAAATATGGTCAATGGATGAGTGCATCTATGTCCTGAGCGGGCAGGATAAGGGACTCCAAAACACAGGTGGGGTCAAGGCTGGGGTCTCTGCTCAGCCAAGATGGGGCTGAGTGTGACACCTTCCTGTGTGAGTTCTGAGACGTAGCTTGGCCGAGAAGCTCTAGGGAAGGCAAAATTGCAAAGGCAGGCCTGGCCCTTTCCCAAACCCTGATGCTGACTCAGAGGCACTGGGAAGGGTGAGTCCTGGCCTGGGCCTTCCCCAGGTATTGACCTGGGAGTGTGCCCCTCCCTGCCCCTTCCCTTGTTTTCCTCCCTGACTGAGGCAGCCGAGAGCAGAGATGAAGCATGGGCAGGGCATCTTCCATGCCAGATTGACCCCTGAGCTTGGGCAAGGCACTTAATCCCTGTGGACCACCAGTTTTCTCAGCTGTGAAATGAGAGGACTGGCTCAGATAACGTACAGGGTGGATCTGGGCTCTAAAACCCTGTGAGTCTATAATAAAGGACACAGTGACCCCAATCCAATCCTCAAGATCAAGGTTTTAGGCAATTTGGAAACAGAGAGATGAGTAAGAGACAGTGGACACAGCACATGTCAGGACAAAGTGGGGGGACTTAAAGCTTATAATAGATGGTCAATAAATATCTGTTGAATGACTGAGTGAATGAAGGAATGAATGAAGGGTGTGAGTACGATGGGAAGGCAAATGAGGGAAGTGCAGTCAGGTTTCAAGCAGATTGGGATCAGAAAGGCAACCTCCTATTTCTGAGCTCTTGGCTTAACAGTGGTGCTAACTCTTTTTGCCATGAGCATTTTAATCCCCATTCTCCTATCCTGTTGCCCCCAGCATCCTTCCTAAAATGTGGGACTAGACTGAGCTGACGCCCTCAAGGCCCCTGACCTCCCCTCTACCTCCGAAGCCCTTTGCTGCCCCAGCAAGGGCTGGCAGGCTGCCCCTCCCTCTGAGTTGCCTGTAAAGGTGTGGCCAGGGGGCAAGCCAGAGGATTCCTTCCTGAACCTTCTTGAAGGGCTCAAGTTGCCAAGCCCCTCTCCTTCTCTCCTCTCACCTCATTGAGGACGAGAAAAAGCGTGGACTGAGGGGGAATCGGCTGGGGAGGGGGCCACCGAGTGGCCACGTTCTGGACAACCCAAGAGGGCTGGAACCACAGAGCTGTCCAAGGAAAGCCTAACGGGGCCCTGCAGCCTTGTCCCTACTCCAGGGTCTCCTCAAAGTGGGCTGAGGTCCTCACCAGGGCCAGGCCAGCAAGCCTGGACTTGGCTCAGAGACCTCCTGGAAGGATGGACAGTGCCGGCTTGCAGCGTGGGGATCACAGGCTTCCAGTCTCCCTGTCCCGGCCCTGCCCCTCTGGTTTTTGGTTTGATATCAGCCCCTCTGCACAGGGAGAGGGGAAGGAGGAGAGAAGAGAGGGAGGGGACCCAAGGCTCAGGATTCCCCAACCCAGAGCTCCTTAAGGCAGATAATTTGTGCTTTACAAAGAGATCACTGATTCTGCCAATGGCCGGCGGGGGGGGGGGGGGGGGGGAGCACAAGGACCAAACAAATAAGACAAATCACAATGAGTCGGGAGGGCAGCGAGGTCAGGAGGAGGAACAGGGATGGGAAGGGTGGGGCAGGTCCAGACAGGGATCCTCAGGGCAGGCTGGCAATGTCTCTCTCTGGAGGGGGGCCGACTGGCTTGGGACTGCTCTCATTGGCTTTTCCTTCAAACATCATGACTCTGGTTTGGAGATGGAGAAAAAACAAAACAAAACAGGATTAAGACCCTTCCCTCATCCAAGAAAAGATCATCCCAGCCCTCCCGTCACAGGCTTCTCAACAGAATGCCCTTGCATCCACCCTCTAGTGGAATCTTCTTGGAATCCCATGAAGGCAGCTATGTGGAAGGGGCTGCTAGTCCCACTTTACAGAGGAGGAAACTGAGGCACAGAGCAGCCGTGTGACTCCTCAGAGCCACACAGGCAGTCCGAGGCAGGAGGGGACTCCAGATCTTTGACTTGTAGGCCACGCACCTTCCCCTAACCGCGCTGCCTGGGCCACGGCTCTGCTCAAAGCCCCTTCGGATCTTCACAAACTCCCACTACTCTGAGAGTAGAGTCGAGGGAGTAGAAGATTGGGGCTCAGAGTGTGGCCTCTGGAGGGAAACAGCCTGGATTGGAGTCCCAGCCCCATTACTTCTGAGCTGGGCGACTCAGGCAAGACACCCAACCCCACGGACGCTCAGTGCTTCCATCTGGAAGTGAGGGCACCGGAAGTGCCACATCCTGGAGCTGCTCCAGGCATCAGTGCCCCCCTCCATCTGTAGTCCCTCCTTGGGTGGGCTCTTCCAGTCCCCTGGCTTTAAATCCCATCCAAAGGGTGACAGTCCACCAGCAGCTTGCCTCTGAGCTCCAGATTTGCACATCCAGCTCCCTCCTGGACCTCCCTGTGGATGTCCACATCAACACATCAAAAACTGAGCTCTTAATTCTCACCTTCCCTGCCTGCTCTTCCCGCAAAGCAAACAGCGTCATGACTCACTCAGTTCCTCAGACCCCAGACCTCCTGGTTTTCCTTCACACCCCACGTCTGGGCATTTAGACAAGCCTTCCAGCTCTACCTCCAAAATCACTCCCAATTCCAGTAGCGCCTGCCCCTCCACTGCAGCCTCTCCAGGCCCAGCGGTCTCAGCTCTTACCTGTGCGAGCGCACGAGCCTCCTATAGGCCTCCCTGCTGCCACTGTCACCCCTGACCCAGCCACAGGGAGCCTTTTACAAGTCAGCCCCTGGCTCTGAGTACTCCAATCGCATCCCTCCACATTCATACAAAATGCTAAATCCAACCGTGGCCTACACAGCCCCACGTCACCTGGCCTCTGCCCATCTCTGCAGACTCATCCTTCACTCACTGTGCTCCAGACACACTGGCCCCTGTGCTGGTCCTTGAGCACACAAGCACGATTCTGCCTCAGGGTCTTTGCATTTGCTGTTTCGTCTGCCTGGAATGCTTTTCCCGAGATCTTCACATGGCTCATCTCTTCACATCTCCCTCGCTCAGGGCTCTGATCAAATGTGCCTCCTCAGTGAGATCTTCCCTGCCGGCTATCCCATCCCTCTCTGCTCCTCTTGCCCTTTATTTTTCTTTGTACTACACCAGTGCAATCTAGTGCTTTGGGGTTTTTTGGGTTTTTTGTCTGTTTTCTGCCATTAGGCCGTAAGCTCCATGAGGCCAGCAATTCATGTGTCCCCAGCACCTAGAATAATTCCTGGAACATGGGTGGTGCTCGGTAAATATTTGCTGAATTAATGAATGACAAATCTAAGAAGTCAATGGGTGAACCAGTGCCTGACACGTGGTAAAAGTCCCCACATCTTAGGTGTCGTTTGAATAGTTTCATCGCTCTCATTGCTGCCACCTGGCCTCTCGGGCGCAGTGTGATCTGATGTTGATGGTTTTCCCACCACATCTCCTGCCCCATCCCACCCTACACTCAAAGCTCTGACCGGCCTGGACTGTGGGCTCATGAGCAAGTTACTCAGCTTCCTTCGGCCTCAACTTCTCCCCTCTTTAAAATGCGACAGGTATATTTTACATTTGTACATTTAGAAAAAAGTTACTCTTCTTTCATAAAAGCCAAGCCAGTGTCCTTCTCGGCTTGGACAGACACCACAAGGCTCTCCAGGGAGTTGCTCTGCAGCTCCTCATGGAGAAGGACCTACGGAGTGTGATTTTGGCCACCATACACTAGGAGCCATCAGCCAGTCCTGGGCTAGACTCTTCACGTGTGTTACCTCATTAAGCCTCAGGGCACCACTTCACACGAGATACTTATTGTCCTCTCTATCTTACAGGTGAAGAAACTGAGGCTCAGGGACCTAAGGTCATTTGCCCAGAGTCATTTTGGTAGCAAGTGAGCACATCAAGATTTGAACTCTCCGTCCCTTTAGAGCCAGTTTTTAACTCTGTGTTAGGCTCAAAACAACCCCGCGGGGCAGAAGAGTCACTTTACAAATGAGGAAACTGAAGCTCAGCAAGTTTCGACAGTAGATTTATCATCGTTGTTGTCATCCTCATCGCCACCTACTGAGGGCTGATTCTGACACAGGCTACTTTCACCTGCAAGGTGCGTATTAACGTGGCCATTTGAGAGATAAGGAAATCAGGGTCAGAGAAATTAAGAACCTTGCCCAGCAGGTCGCACAGTGAATGACCTCCTGGCTGGGGACCGGCTGAGGTGCCCGAGCCGGGGGCCTCTCCACACCCAGTGACTGTGCCTTCGGAGGCCCTGGGGGTAGCGGGGAGGGGATGAACTCACAGCTTGAGGACAGCTGACCGCTTCCCCAGCATCATGTTCACAAAGTCTCGGTAGGAGATGGTGTCGCTGACCCCGCCTGTCACCTCTGAGATCATCTTCTTCATCTCCAGGTGGGTCTTGGGGACCCCAAGCTTCTCCATCATCCTTTTTAAAGACATCAGGTCTGCCAGAGGAAACGCAGATCCGTTAAGTGGCGACAAGGCTGAGCGAGGAAGCTGGCAAAGCTCCCCTCTGGCACCCCACCCAGAAGAAGTCCAGCAGGATAGCCCCTCCCTGGAGACCGCAGTCAAAGGCCTTTCTCCTCTAGGGAGAATGAGCCCATCACACCCTCCCTGCTCTTTCCAGAGGCAGTATGGACTAGTGGTTAGGGACATGGGCTTCTACAGAGGGACAGACATGGCTTGGAATCCAGCTCTGCTATGCCTGGCTGTGGGACTTGGGGCAAACTGCTTAACCTCTCTGAAGCCCTATTCTCATCAGTGGTAAAACGGGTTGATGGGATCATCTAGGGGTATGATACATAAGAACCTGCCACAAAGCAGGTGCTTAGTAACGGAGCCGCTATTCTTCACTCCACTGTTGTCATCTCTGCTGCTCCCCCGGGGTTAGGGGTTAGGGGGAGCTGTGTGCCCACTGCTCCAGCAACCCAAGAAGTCACTGCCCAGGGAGGCCGGGTCAGGGAGTCTGCCTGACCCTAGCCTTCGAAAGTCGCTCTCCAGGTGCTGGGGGGCAGCTCTCCCCACCTGCCACTCCCCCGCTGCAGTCCTAAGGCTCCACCTCGCTGGAAGGAAGAGAGTACCAAAAATATCCCGCAGAGCAGGAAGACCAACAAAAGAACAAAATTCAAGAAAAACAAGGGAGGCACCAAAAAGGCACTACACCCTAAGGAGCTGCTGCCTCTGACCTCCCAGCTCCCAAGACCTGAGGCAATTTCCTTCAGATTGTTCCGTGAACAATGGGTCAGCAAAGGATGGCGGAGCGGGGGTAAAGCGGGGGGGGCTGATTTCTGGGGGAGAGGTGCGCCAGCTCACCCGAGAGGCAGGGCGGGGAGGACTGCTGCCAGACCCCTGGGTGCCAGGATGTCCAGGGCATTTCAAAGAAAGCTGGGCAGCATTCTACAGGAAGAAGTGAAAGGTCTTGCCACACGGCTGGCCAGACTCTAAATTGGACTCTAAATCTGGAAGGCAGTTTGGCAAGATGCTTCAAAAGCCTCTGACCCAGAATGTCTCATTCCTGAGATTTACTCTAAAGAAATAATCAGCGACGTGGACAAAGATTCATGCACAGAGATGTTCTTCACAGGATTATCAATAATAGCTAAAACTGGACATCTCTAAATGGGCGATACTAAGGCGTTGGCTGAGTAAATTATAGTCCATCCCACAATGGAATATTATGCAGCCATTAATTACATTTCAAAAGAAAAGTTATTCATATATCAAACTACTCACAAAGTTAAGTTACATATAAAAAGAAAGAAAGTTCTAGAATTGTATAAAGCAGGCTTAGTGATTAGAACGGAGTGGAAGGCTATAACCCAAGACAGTACAGCGGTTATTTCCAGGAGGTGGGGTGCTGGATGAGGTATTTTTGTCTTGTGCTTTGCTGTGTTTTCCAAAAACTTTTATGATGAAAATGCATTCATTTGATAATCCAAAAAATGTTTTTCCTACAGAAGACAAGGATCAAAAGATTCAAAAGAGAGAAGAAGGAGAGAGGACGGGGAGGAATGGAAACACTGGTGGCAGTGACAACACTGCAAGTTCAGGGTGAAACGGAGGAGGGAAAACCCATCCTGAAACAAAAGGCTGGGCTCTGGGCCCTGGACCTGCCACTAACCCCCAGGTGCACCAAGCAAGTCGTTTCACCTTTCTGAGCCTCTGTTTCCCCATCTGTAAAATGGGGATAATTCAACAGGCCCTGACTATATCATAGCATTACTGGTAAAGGTCAAGATATGGTCTTAAACATAAGTGCCAGGGGACAGGCGCTTGTCACCCCCAGCACCTGGAGAGCAGGACACAGGCAGGGTCTGTTGGAGGAGGGAATCAACGTTTGAAAGCACCCTGTCAACTGCAGGACAGCATACAAAGCGAAGGACAGGCTTGGGGACAAAGGAAACGCCAGCCCCTAGGCCAGGGCGTCAGCAGCCTGAGCATCTCCAGCCCGGGCAGGGGTGGCGCCCTCTGTCCTGAGTCCCCCGAGCATCTGGGGTGGGAGGCTGAGGAGTGGCAGGGAGGTGGGTGGGGAGGGAAGAAGTGGGGAGAGGAGTTTGGGGGTAGTGGGTCCAGGGGAGAAGGCAGACGGGCTCAAGGCTAGCCCACTGGGGTGGCTGCAGTGTCCTCGTCGCACTCCTGAGAGCGACTCATGTCCCTCACCCACGCAGGTGGGTCGGTGGGGCTCTCTGGACCCTCGAACCCTCTACCCACCGAATACCCTCCTCTCCCAGCCCACTGGAGGCCTCACTCACCAATCTCGCCCTCATTGTTCAGGTCAAACTCCATGTACTTCTCTGCAAATCACAGAGCAAAAACCGGCATTAGCTTGGAAGCAGGGACCCAGTGACCACCTTCCTCACCCTGCTCGGGGATCTTGACATGAGTTCAGTCATCTCAGCCATCGTCTCTGGAGAAAGAGCTCACCCTGCCTGCACCCCTCTCCCACAGGCGCTGTGGAGAAAGGCGCCCAGGGGGCCACTCTGACCCTCTGCCCAAGAGGGCAGCTGCTTGCTCCCAGGTCTCCACCAGCAGGCTGGCTGCATCCAAACTGGCTGCAAAGTGACTAGAATAGATTCCCAGCCGTGGGAAGGGTGGGGTGGGGGCAGGAACTGGTGTGTTTCAGAGTCTCCGGCGATTCCGATGGGCAGCCAGGCGTGGGAACCACTGCTTTAAAGAGTCCTTGTGGTTCTGTACCTTTTGGGGGGTCGTGGGCACCACCGAGAATCTGATGCTCTCCCAGGAGAAACACCTGTGGACCTGCCCTTAACCACAAAGTGGCACATACAGTGTCCAGGGATACACAGAGCCTCCCCCCAAACCTCACCTATAGGCTTTGAGTTAGACTTCCCCGATCAAGGGGTCCAGGGCACGTCCAGCAGTGAGGGAGGACAACACAGAGCAACGCGTTCAGCATCTTCTGACACAGGCAGTGTGTGCAAATAAGGCCTGTGGTCTTGGGCAGGTGGCCCCAGCCACAGAAGAGCAGGGCCCTCAGGGCAGGGTCTATTCTGCACGGAGTGGCCAGCGTGAGAAGGCCAAGGTCCTCCCGGCAGTCTGGGAGCCACCATCGCCTCCGCCCGCTTTGTGAGCGTCTGCGGGAGAGGGGGGCTGCTGGACTGGTCCTCTGGGGATTCTCAGGGCCCCTCCTCATGCCTTCAGGACCCCCAGCCTCTCTAACTGGGCACTGCCACCCCCACAAAGCACCTACTGCCATCTGGCAGGCTCGGCATTTCCTGCACTCTCTTCCCCATCCCCTCCCCACTGGAACACAAGCTGCCCGGGGCAGGGCCCTCTGGTCTGTGTGTTCTCTGCCGTCCCTAGGCCTGGAGCGGGGCCTGGCGCAGTAAACATTCCTGGAGATCAGATGAGTGAATAATCTGAAGACCTCCTCAGTCCCTTGGCTTCCAAGCCAACTTACTATGGTCCTAGCCAGCCCCAAGGAACCCAACCCTACATCCCAAAGAAGACAAGGAGAGTGGACATTAGACCCCGAGACCTCTGCCCCTCCTCCCAGAGCCACCTCTGAAGAGTGACCCCGCTGGTATCCAGAAAGAAGGGAATGGACTGCTCCGAGGCACGGCTCTCTTATGGGCGGCTGGGACAGGGTGCGGGGGACAGGGCTGGGATAGGGTGTCTTGGTTCTGGTTCTTTTTTTTTTTTTTTTAATGTAAAAAGCACCATTGCATAATGGTAAAGAGCAGGGGCTTTGGAGCAAGACTAACATGGGTTCAGGTCCCAACTCTGCCCTAGATGAGCTGTGCAACCTCAAGCAAATGACTCCACCCCTCTGAGCCTGAGTTTCTTCATCTATAAATTAAGATCACACCATCTCCCTCCCGGCTGGATAGGGACGATCCGGGGAGCTCACAAGACAGCATTCGAAGTGCTACCCCCAAGGTCACTGCCAAGAAATGCTTAGCCATCGATGTCCTGTCTAAGGACCACGAAGGCGTAAACCATCTGAGGAGCACCGGGCAGCTCTTTGCCTTGGAGCAGGGAGGAGCCCACGCCGCCAAGACTTGAGTGGGGGCTGTGGCCTAGAGGATGTTCGCTGGGCTCCTCCGGTGTGCCCAGGGCCCCCGCATGCTAAGCGTGCCTCTCCCCTCCCGGGTGGGAAAGGTGGGTCTTTCCTGCTCCTCTGTGCACGGCTCCTCTCCTTTTGAGCTGCTGGCTGGGAACCAAGCGCCAGGGCCCGGAACAGAGGGACCTTTATGCCACCCCCTCCCCGCGCGGGCTCCTGGGCCCTGTTTTCTTTTCATCCCGTGCTGCCGGCATTCAATGGGCAGAAACTCTGCCCCCTGCCCCACTGTGGCGACACAAACGTCCATTCTCCGCAGGGGCTCCCGAGGCGCTCCACCGCGGAGGGGGCGAGGCCAGGGCAGCCACAAAGAGTGGATTGTGTGCTGGGGCCCCGGGAGCGAGCAGGGCCTGGGCCGCAGCGGACAGGAGCCAACCTGAGCCCTGCCAGGCAGCCAGGGGGAGGGAGGGCAGGCCGGCGCCTGCAGGCCAGGGCTGAGGGGCCTGGGATGGTGCGGAGAAAGGTGGAAGGGCCTGTGCCCCTGGCCGGGTCCCCCACCTCACAGCCCGCGGGGAAGAGGGGCATACTGGATGAACCAGGGCAGCAGCCTGGGCCTGTGGGGCAAGGAATCCTGCCTGTGAGGAGCCAGCCCGGCTCTCCGGGGTGGCAGTGCCACCAGCCCTAACTTACCTTTGAAGGCTGCCAGCTTCTCCGGCAGGTTCTCTTCATCACTGTACTTCTGGTCACAGAGAAACTCCTACAGAGGCGAGAGGACAGTGTTGAGCAAGGGGTCAGCTGGCCACACTCACTGACATGGGGGCCCACTGCCCCGGTGCCTTCTCTACTGCCAGGTGGCCGGGCTCGGCCGGGCAGGGCAGGAGGCACCAGTGTTTGTCCTGGCCCCCCGACAACCCTCAAAGGCAGAGCCGCAGAGTCCACCCTGTGGGGAGGAAGTGTGCTCAGCAGCTCAGGGCAGGGCCCGGAGGGTGTGCTCCAGGAGACTGACCACTTCGGTCAGCCTCTGAATAACCAGTCCAGGCACCCGGGCCTCCTCCCAGGGACCCTGGCTTGGAGGCCGTGAAGCCGTGAGTCCCAAAGACAAGCCTCCTGGTTCCAGCATTACCTTCTTAGGTCTGGGGCCCACCGTATGAATTCCTCTCTGTATCCCTCTCGCTTTATCTGCAAATGGGGATAATTACGGTGGCTGCTTCCCGAGCTTGTGTGAGAAGCCAAGGAGCCTGTACGTATGGCTCCTGGCGTTCAGCACGAGCCCAGTGAACAGCAGCGGTCCTATTAGGAATCTCTGCTCCAGCCAGAAAATGCCCTGCACACTGCTGCAGAGGCCGCTTGCCCTCCCCCTGCGTCCTCTCATCTGAAGGGCCCACTTCCCCTCAGATACTTAGAGAGACTCAAACAGTCCTTTCAGGACCGACTGGGGGGAGGGTCGGAAGGAGATGCCAACAGGCTCCAGAAGGAAGCACTCACCCACAGGCGCTCTTCAGATCTCCCAGGGGCCCAGGAGGCAGCGACTCTTATGCCTCCCATTGTACAGATGCGGAAGCTGAGGCTCACACAGCCAGAGCTTCACCTCAGCTCCGTCTCATTTAGAGCCTGCATCCTTCACCCCGACACTCAAAGAGGAGCAGACGGCAGGCACTCATCCAGCTTTAAAACAAAAAGCTGCCAATTAGGAAGCGCCTGCTACGCCGGGCACAGGGCCAGGTGTCCTCCGTGCCTTGTTGCCAATCTTCAGGCAGCCCTGGAACCTGCATTCAGATGGGGACGCAGAGGGTGCCTTCCCATCCTGGCACCGGGGCCACAAACCCCTTTCCTACTCTGGACCTCGCTTCCCTCATTACTGAACCGACCAGACACGGGTGTCGCTCCTCCGTTCGTTATTCATTCAACAGCTATTGAGGGCCCACAGTGTACAGCGCTCTGTTCTAGGCATCAAGGGAGCACATAAAACCAAGGCCAATAAGATAAGGTCCTTCTTCTAAAATTACAGGAAGTTCACGTTCAAAACTATATTAAACGTTATTTAGGTCAATTACTCAACCTGTTTCTAAATTCTTGCTGTTATTTCCTACTAAGTGATGACCAAGTCTGTACTTACACATCTCCAAGGACAGGGAACTCACTACCTTTCCAGACTGTCATGAAGACCCACAAGAGACTTAAAGGAGAATAGGCGGATGACAAGAACCGAAATGACTACAGAGCACTCAGGGTTTGGGTCTCAGTCACCTCCTTACCAGCTATGAAATGGGCATAAGGGTACCCATTGCTTGGGTACCAGCCCCTCAACGGGGATAACCCACTGAGAGCCTTAGCGGTGGGCCGTCCATCAGGGCTCAGCAGCGAATGGTGCGATGGGGTGTGAGGCAGAATACCGTCCCTTCCAGGGCTCTAGGGCCTCCATGTTGACTCAGGCCCCCGACAAAGAAGGAGAAACCCACCTGCCAAAGTGGCCCCACCTGCTGGGTTGGGGTGCTCCGATTACCCCCTTGCTTTCGGCAGGCATGGTGCTTTCCCATTAAATCTTCACAGCCACTGTTATTCCCATTTCATAGGTGAGAACACAAGGACCAGAGAGGTTAAGTAACGTGTCTGACGTCCCCAGGCACTGAGGAAGCGCACAGTTGGTTTGGAACCTGAGTCTATCGGACTCCAAGGCCCGTGCCTCCAGCAGCCAGGCTGGGGCAGCCCCAGAGCCCCTGGGGTCCAGCTTGGCCACAGCCTCATCGGGGCCTCATTCCCATGCACTGCGCATGGCCCCGCCTCCACTTAGCTCCCGTAGCCTGGGTGGCCGCCCTCTTCCCGGCCGGCTCTGCCCAGAACTTCCCTTCCTCTTGGCTCCCTCTCAGCTCTTCTCTACTGCTGCCCCCACTCCATTCGCTGACCAAAAGCAGGACAATTAACTCTTGTCCGTGGCCCTGAGCAGACCAGGCACTTCCTGGGGTCACAGATCCCATATCTGTCCAGCTGAGGGACAAACAGGTCAGTGGTTCCCAGACTTTGGGGTAATGCAGAAACATTTCCCCCAAAAAATGGGGAGAGGCACTCATATTGGGCTTGTTATTTTGCCAAGCAAAGACTTTAAACAATTGCCATTGACTGCTGCCATGAGTTTAGAAGAGGATATTTCGTAAAAGTGGGAAGTTCACAGTCTCAGAATTTTTAAACAGAATCCATCTAGCCTACGTTCAACTCACCACATTCTCCCTCCCCCTCACTTCGCCACTTTAGGAACTGGAAAGGCTTCGTGGGGAGTCAGGGAGCACAGGCTGAGCCCAACATCTGGGAACCTCTGGGGAGAAACCTGGGGGCCCTCTCAGCTCCTCTGTCTGCTTGACCAGAAATCCTGCACCAGCCCCAAGCCAGCCTGTAATATGTACCGACCCCTCTGGGTTCCAGACAGACTGGGTTCAAGGCGTAGCACATGGTCCCTGGTCTTGGAGACAAATAGCACACACAGGAACACAGAACAACCAGCCAGCAATTCAGAGCAAGGACAACAGCAGGTACCAGGAATGGTTAATGCCGATGCCCTTTCCCTGGACCCGGCCCTGGGCCAGGCTCTCAGCAGGTGCAGTGGCCCTTGGGGGCCAGGATTGCTGACTCGTCACTGATGAAGCCAGTTTCTCCTTAGTATTCATCACCATCTAACATGCTATTTTACATGTGTCCCCCCTACCCACCCCTGCCACCAGAGGGGGCGCCTCGGCCACCCTGGCCTCCGTCCCATGCCTCCCCCAGGCCAGGCTTGCTCCCACCTGGGAACCTTTGCTCTTGCTGTGCCCGCTGCCTGGAGTGCACATATCTGCACGTCCCCCCTCACCTCCTTCAAGCCTTTGCTCCACTGTCACCTTCTCATGAGGCCAAGCCCGCCGCAGCCCCCTGCTTCCATTTCTAGTGCACCTCTCTTCCCGTGCATCTCCTTTCATCAGGGGAGGATCACCTCCTAACACAATTCACAGCGTAAGAGCTTACGGAGGGTGTTGTCCACTGTGCGTCTCCCCCTGTCAGAACGCAGGTGCACAGAGTAGGTGCTCCATAAACAGCTGCAGGAGGAGTGAATGGACTGAGACTCAGAGAGGATGAACAACTTGCTCAAGTCAGCACAGTGGCCGAGCTGGGATTAAGCCCCGCAACGGAGGCCGCTCGGGTTCCCCGCCGGCACAGAGCTGAGGAGCAGAAGTGCCCCAAGGAAGTGGGGTTGGAAGGATGCCAGCAGGAGGCAGGCCCTTGGCCACAGGTTCTGGGACGATGTGTTTGCTGTCTTGTGCCCCACGGATGCCTGGCACCCAGCAGTGCCCAGCATATAGTAGACGCTCAATAAAAATCTGCTGAACCAATGGAGAAGCCCACCATTCAGCCCAGAATGACTTTCTCCACCCACCCCTGAAACGGTCAGGCAGCTTTACAAAAGTCTGCACGTGTGTGGCAGAGACTGGAGAGGATTTAGAGATTGGAATCATATTTTTTCCTTAGAGCCAAAAATGACAAATGCTTGAGCCACAGAGTGACCAGGGGTGGGAGAAGCAGCTGACCCGTCCATGCGTGGGTCGGCAGCCCTCTGTGACCCTGGGCTTAGGGCAGCTGTGTGGACGCTGCCTTAGGCAGGGGGCCACAGAGGCAGGCGGGCAGGCGGCAGGAACAGGAGCTCCACCGGCTGGGCTGCCAGCTCCCACCCCACCTCCGGGCTTTGGATTCGGTTCCCGCTCAGGCACAGCCCACAGCTTCCTCCCTCCGGGCGTCCTTCCCCCACAGCCTTGCCCAGTCTCGGGGCACAGTCATGGCCAGTGGGCAGGTACCCTGTCTGTCCAGACTCTAAGACACCCGGCTGTCCTGACTCTGGGTCTCCAGGAGGAGATGGAGATAGAAGCCACCCCAGATGTTTGGGAAAAAGCAGAACAAAAAGAGGGCGAGCTGGAGCCAGAAAGCCTGGGTTTGAACCACTTAGTTGCTGTGTGAAAATTACTTCATTTCTCTGTGCCTCGTTTTCCTCATCTACAGGAAGGATAAAAAGACCTTGTCTGCCTCGTAGGTTTGTCCTGAGCGTTACAGTATGTAAGCAAATACATGTAAAGTGCTTACCCAGTGCCTGGCACTCAGTAAATGTTAACGTTAGCTGTTGTTATCTGCTAACATTTACATCTGTACAATCCACTCCTAACCCCCACGGCTCATCATCCAGACCATGACTGAGTGTTAAATAGATTAGGAAGGAGATCCGTTCCCCCTGGGCTTAGGCTGCTTATGATTTCTTTTTCCCCTTTCTGGGTATCCCCATTCAACAGATGGGACAACTGAGGCCCAGCGAGGTTGCTCAACTTGCTCGAGATCACGAAGTTTTCACAATTCAAGGTCTGCCTCCCTTCACCATCCCAGCTCCTTCCCTGCCCCCATCAAGGAGAAGGTGGCCTGGCCACAGGTTTCTGGGCAAAGAAAGTCAATACTGGGAGTTACCTTTCTTCTTGGGCAGCTACAGAAGGAGGTTATTCCAGAGGCCAGGGAACCACTCTATAGCCCTCTAGGTGGATAGGGGTGGGGTGGATGGTTTCCTCTAGCCCCATCCCCCTCTCCCCCTCCAACCCACTGTCCCAAAAGACAAGTTTTTCCAGCTGCAGAAACTGTTGCGGTGCCTCCAGGTATGAGGGGCCAGGGGGCCCCTGGGCTCTGAGAGTGACTACTGATCTGTGAGGGGCAAGTCTGCAGGCCTCGGCGGCCTGGTCAGTCCCTGGCAAAGCGCCAGGAATACAAGCAGGTAGGAGCCTGGGATCCAAAACAGAGTGTGAGCCAGGTGGTCACTCCGAAAGGCAGAGCGTCCGGGGGCAAGGCTGGGACAGTGGCAGAGTTGTTCAAGCGGTCGCCCAGCCACGGAACCCAGAAAGGGCTCCTCAGAGCATCCAGCTCGTCCTCTTCGTGCAAAAGCGGGAGAAACTGAGGCCCCAGAAGGAAAAGGTCTTGCCTAGAGCCACAGTGATCAGAAGCCCCACATAAACTTCCTGAGTGCGCATGTGCCGGGCCGAGGGGTGGGGAGGCAGGTTAAACTGAGTTGCCTGGGTTCAAATCCCAGCTCCAGAGCTTATTGGCTCTGTGGCCCTGGACAACTTGCTTTACCACTCTGGCCTCAGTTTCCTCATCTGCAAAATGGGGTCATCATGATAGATCCTCCTCATTGGGTTGGTGTAAGTGTTAAATGAGCTGACAGCATCGAAAGAGCCTGGCTCCTCGTATAGTTATGAAGTCTTATCAGTTACCGGGATGAGTTTGGATCACCCAAACTCAAGCCACACCAAGAGACAACTGTGAGCAGGGGAAGGGCAGAGAAGAGACTTTCCTTGTCCCACATTGCGCCACAAAGTCCTCCTGGGGAGCCATGACCCTCTGGCCATCCCTCCTCAAGGGCAAGCTTTGCTTTGTCCTTGGACACCTGGCTGACCTCGCAGTGACGGGCCATCCACACGGAACAGAGGGCTCCCATCTCAGGCCCCGGGGACAGCGCCCGCATGCAGCCGCACCTGCTCACTACTGTCTCTCTGGGTCACCTACAACCTCGGATGCACATCAGAGAGGCAGAACCGCACCCCTGCCCCCAACCCCTGGGAGCCCCGTCCAAATGCTCATGCCTGGAAGGGGGCATTTCCAAAACCAGCAGAGCTTGGCAGCACCTGCTGTGTCCGGGCCTCCGGAACCCTGCCACCTGCCTGCCCACACCACCCCCGACTTAACTCTCTTTCTGGGCTGGTACCTCTAGCACCTGCTCCCGGATGCTTGCTCCTGGCCCTCCAGGCTCGTCTTTATGTATTAGCTGCAGCAGAATTTTGGGGCGGGCGGATATCACCATCTTGGAGGCCATCCAAGGGGCTGGCAGCTGAAGCCCTGGGCGAAAACCCCAAGGACAGGAGGCGCCATGCCTGGCTGTGAGGCCCCTGACGCAGCCCACAGGCTCTTAAAGGGCCAGGACCAGGCCACAGATGCCCAGTCTGGTGCCTGGCGTGTAGCAGGAGCCTGTAATGTGCACCCAGAAGGACAGCAGGCTCACATTCCCCACGGTAGCTCTGGGGCCTCATCTGGACACCGCGTCCTCGCCAATAGACGGGGCAGCTGAAGAAAAACACCCTCCCAACTACACGAATGAAGCAGACCCTGCAGAAATTCCATCTCCAGCTTCCTGTGACATGGCCACTCTGAGGTCGTGACCAGCTGGACCTGTGGGGACACTGAATCCTCAGAGGCTCACGTGGCTGCTTATCACCATCTCCCTTATAATATATTAAGAAAGAGCAAGAGAGACGGGTGCCCAGCAATGCTAGCTGGGCACATTCACCTAGCAAGGACATGGTGGCACTGCCAGTACACAGGAAAAGAGACGTACCTGCAAAGTGCCTGGGTCAGGTCTCAGAGGTCCTCCATTGCCAGCAGAGGGGCCTGGGCAGAGATGCCCAGCCAGCCAAGTCCAGCTCTTTCCACTAGGGATGGCACGTGGGTTCTGAAATAACCATTAGGCATCTAAATGCTACAGGGAATCCTGAGTGCCCTTCATTCGACCCAGGAA